CAATCAGAGCGGGCCCCCTGGCCCCCCCAGCAAGAACGAGGGTCCCACAGCCCCTGCCCGGGGTGTGGGCTCTGCCAGGACCTGCCCGTGCCCAGGGGGGTGTCCGAGGCCACCCCCCCCACCCAGGTGGCACCTGGCAGAGCGCAGGTGACAGGAGAGTGACTCGTGGGGAGGGGGACGCTCTCAGGAAAATTCCCAAATCCAGGAAAATCCAGGGGGGGGCTGGAGGAGCCTTTCGTGTCTCGGGGGTGGGGGTGGGAGGCTGAGGGAGGTGGGGGCTGTTTGGGGGCAGAGGAGGAGAAGGTTTTTTGGGGACACCCATGGACATGCTCCCCCCTCCTGGCAAGAGGTCAAGCTCTTCCTTGTTGTGCCATATGGGAAAATTGTGGAATCCCAGAGGGGTTTGGGCTGGAAGGGACCTCGAAGGTCCCCCAGTCCCACCCCCTGCCACGGGGGACACCTCCCCCTACCCCAGGTGGCTCCAAGCCCCCTCCAACCTTGGCTTATGCACGTTCAGGTGCCTCAGGTGGTCCCAAACCTGATCTTCCCACGCAGTGGGAGGGACTTTGGTGGGAAGGGGGTCCAGGAAGAACCCCCCTGGCCCCAAAGGCCCCCCTGGCAGAGCAGCAGCTCGGGTTACCTTGTTGTTGCTGTCCTGGAGAGGGAGCTTCATAAAGGAGAGAATAAAGGGCTTCTTGATCTCCATTTGAGAGGCTGGAAAGCAGAGAAGGCACACTCAGAGAAGACATCACTCAGTGATGCCCTTGAGCAGCCAAGGATCGAGCTGCTGATTCCAAAAACCCCCCTCTTCCTGGGTTTGGTCCCTTGTTCCCCTCCCAGCTGGCTGGGCTGGGCTCCTCCTCCTCCTCCAACCCTGCAGCCAAGGATGGGGTTGGATTCCTCATCCCAATCCCAGCAGGGACTCGTGGAAAGGGAGCCCTGGGGGTGGGGACTGATCCTGGACCCCCTCCCACCCCACGGGGACTCACGGGCGCTGTTGATGATCTGCCTCATGATGAGCAGGGTCCCCACACGGGTCCTCTCGTTGCTGCTCTCCAGCTTTGGGAGCAGGAAGGCCAGGACACGGTCTGGGAACGAGCAGGCTGGGGGATGATGCAGGTCCCAGGGGAGAGAGACACGGGATTATGGGATGGTTTGGGAGGGGGAAGATCCCTCAGGGCTCACCAGGTCCCCCCAGCCCTGCCCAGGCCAGCCCAAGCGCCACATCCACAGGGATGGTCAATCCCCCCAGGGCTGGGCAGCCCTTTCCAGGAGGGATTTCCCCCAAGATCCCAAATAAACCTCCCCTGGCACAACTTTAGACCATTTCCTCTCATCCTGCCCCTTGTTCCACAGGAAAATATCCTGAATCCCACCTCCTGCCCCTTCCTTGGAGTCCCCCACGGACCTTCCAGCCCCTTCAGCATATCCACATTCCCACCACCCAGCCTCAAAATTTGGAATTCTGGGGGGCAAACACGACCCCCAGATCCCACCCTGCCCCGCTGGGGGGGCTGTGAGCCCACCCTGCTCTTCCCACCCACCCCACCCCTGAGCTTCCCCCCCCCAGCATGTTCCCTCAGCTCTCCCAGCAGCAGCAGGAGTTGAAACCAACCCTCCCACCAAGTGCTGCCCTGTCTTGTCCAAATATTTGGGTGGCTAAAAATAACCCCCCCAGTCTGTGGCTGCTGGAAATGGAGCGACACTCGTGGGAGCTGGGGGAGGAAGGTCTGGGGGGGTAAGGGGGGATGTGCAGTTCCAAGGCAGGATTGGCAGGGAAAAAGGCAGCTGGGCCGTGGGTTTGAGGGCAGGAGTGCCAGCAGGGAAGGGCCAGCACCCAAGCGTGACTCAGCAGCAGCTCCTCACCACGCAGGGCTGCTCTTTTCCCGCGGGCTCCATCTGCTCAGGGAGCCGGGAGAGGCCCACGAGGAATCTCGGAATTGTTTACGCTGGAAAAGCCCTCAGGGCACGCAGAGTCCACCCCCTCAGCACTGCCAGGGACAGCCCTGCCCCTTTTCCCTCAGTGCCACCTCCCCAGGGGTGGGCAATCCCCCAGGGATGGGGATACAGCCCTTCCCACGAGGGGTTTTCCCAAATATCCCACCTGAGCCTCCCCCGGGGCCGTTTCCCCTCGTCCTGTCCCTGTTCCCCGGGAGCAGAGCCCGATTCCCACCTGGTGTCACCTCCTGGCCCCCCTGGAATTCCCCTGAGCCCCCTTTTCTCCAGGCTGAGCCCCCCCAGCCCCCTCAGGAGTTCTCCAGACCCTTCCCAGCTCCATTCCCATCCCTGGGAACATCTCCAGCTCAGTCCAACCTGTGAGGGGCCTCGCTGAGCTCTGAACATCTGCTGGTCACCCCAAACGAGACACAGCACCAGGATGGGGAGGGGATTCATGGATCCATGGAATCATGGAATGGTTTGGGTGGGAAGGGACCTCAAAGCCCATCCAGGCCCCCCCCTGCCTTGGGCAGGGACACCTTCCACTATCCCAGGTTGCTCCAAGCCCTGTCCAACCTGGCCTTGGACACTTCCAGGGATGCCCCTGGAATCATGGAATCACAGGCTGGTTTGGGTTGGAAGGGATTTTAAGGATCACCTCATCCCACCCCCCCTGCCATGGGCAGGGACACCTCCCACCAGCCCAGGCTGCTCAGAGCTCCACCCCTGGAATGCTGTGCTGCAGGACCCAGCTCTGGAGGTCTCCAGTGGGATTCTCCAGCTCCAGAGGCTCTGGAGAAACCTTTGGAACCGAGGCCAGCGCTTTGGGAAGGTCCCTGGAGGGGACTGGTCACCACCCCCTGGCCGGGGGATGTCCCACCCTAAGCCCAGTAGGGACCAGGGGGATCTGAATCCTCAGGTTCCCCAAATCCAACCGCCTGGAGAGGACCAGGAATGCCAGGAGAGGTGAGGGCTGTGGGTGCCCCAGGATTTGGGGCGAGCCCTTACCCAGGACGGTGAAGCACCGCAGCACCTCGGTGTGGTTTTTGCTGCTCAGGGGCACGGCGGGATCTGCAGGAGCACAAATCTGTGGGGGGAGAGACAGAGAGACCCCCACCCAGGTGAGGGACAGCACCTGCAATGGGGCTGGGGGGGCGGCACAGCCAGGCCTGGGACACACACACAGAGCCCTGGGCTGGGGGGTGACACTGTCCCAGCACGGGTGACACTGTCCTGGGGGGGGTG